TTTCTTTCATTTTTGACAATTTGTCCTGAACCTACGTTCACATGTCACAATTCTCATCAGAAATATATACTACTCAAAAGAAGTTAAGGATCACCCGATTCTTTCATATTGGTAATGTTAATCTGTCATGGCATGAGAGATTAACTATTGTAATATGAAAGAACCAGGTGATCCTTAACTTCTTTTGAGTAGTATAGTTGCAATACACTTCCACTTAACAATTGTCAAACTTCAGTTGATATTTAAGTCAGGGTTCCAGCATGAGTTTTAACTATGATTTGCATGGGTTTGACTGGCCAGAGAGGTGTCAAACACGAATTGTTTCAACTTACATTTTCTTTGATATTTTGACTCAACTAGCGCAGTTCTAAGGCACTGTAGTTCTATTCCCTATGCCAGTCTGACCTCGCTGCAGGTAGTAAATCATGACCTTCCCTTACTGTCCCAGGAAACAGAAGTTATTACTTTTCATTGCTAATCACGGCACCGCTGGTAATTCTTTTGTGGGGATCAGCCCATGTATTTCCAATGTTTGATCTAATATGTTGACTCTGGATGAAAGTGATGGACGCAGCACAATGTCAGAATTCTGCTGTCTGGACAAGTGCATGTACGTTTCCTGCATCCCCACATTACATAGCAGGCAACCACAAACTATCTGTCATTCAGTGAACCATTTAGGTACCCATCTTGTGGATAGCGGTTAAGATGGAACGTACTCATCACCCATTACGGGTCTCAACAGTGTCGGCTCTGTCTTGAATTGCAACTGAACGATGTCAGATGCAAATCCCTATTATGTCCCCGTGTATTGTCAGGAGAACAAATTGACTTGCCTTTGCATGTATTGGTGACGGATGCCACCAGTTGGACGGGACACGCTCACCTTATCGTGAACACCCGGTATCATCACTATTTCATAGTGATTCATAAACACAAGATATGATCTTGTCGTACAATGGACCGCGGTTTTGGCAGAGATTTCGTATGGTTATGGATAGGATTTTGTCGCTTTTATGTGAAATAATCCTATTAATCCTGGCCATTAATCCTGTTTTAAACTCGGTGGGAAACAAAAACAAGAGTCCGGACTTAAATATTAATTGAATTTTGTCAACTGATTCCTTGTCTTTGCGATCTGTCTATTGCCACGTTGTCAATGATTGAACACATACACAGCTGTAAAGAAAAACCCTTATCAATCTGTTTGATTAATGATACTTTAATTACACTGAACACTGTCGCCATATGTGACAACATTGTTGCCATAGAAACCACAGGCCATATTAAATCGACAAACACATTTGATATTGAAGTGTGTTCCTTTGCCGTCTCTCGCTTGAGCCGGTGTTTGATTACATATAGCGCGTTTGCCGAAACATTAATGAAAATGACACTTTCCCCTGAAATTAGTGTAATTATGATCATAGATATCGTGTGTGACAGCAACAGGAATGAATGTACTGCACCAATGTGTTGTGGTAATGTGATATAGCATTTATATGTTCTAATATTAAACTACAAAACCTGTATATGTCCTCAGTTTTGTTCTCATCAAATCCCTAACCTTTCCGGAATGTTTCTATTTTGACCGAAACATAAACTCCCATAAACACCGCACACATAATAGACCTGAAGGGTGTAGTAATTGTACACAAACATATTCGTTTGTTTGTTTGTTTGTTGTTTAACGCCGCACTCAGAAATATTACAGCTATATGTCGGCGGTCTGTCAATAATCGAGTCCTGACCAGCCAATCCAGTGATTGACATCATGAGCATCGATCCACGCAATTGGGAAACATGACATGCATCAATCACGTCAGCGAGCCTGACCACCCGATCCCATTAGTCGCCTCTTACGACAAGAATAGTCGCCTTTTAGGGCAAGCATGGGTTTCTGAAGACCTATTTTACCCCGCATCTTCACGGGTCTAAACAAACATATTCCCGCTAGAAGCTGGAGACACCCGTGTCGATGGTCTCGGACATGTTGGTGTGCAGGGCTGGATCTGATGGGAGATTTCTTTTGATAATGAAAAGGGTTTTGTCGTATTTATTTAGCAGTACCAGGATCCGATTATTAAGGATTCGAACCCGCGTTTCGCCGCGTCGAGTCCAGCTCGTGGGTAACCATTCAACAATCATGCTAAAAGCGGCATAAAACCATACTCACTCACTTCTTCAAACCCTGAACCCCAAACTTCCCTGGGACCGAACCTCACTGTATTGTCCGACACGTCATAGTTACAACCCGACCCACTCACCTCCCTCATACTTGAACTGAACATCTACACCCAGCGGTTCTTTGAGCGCTGCGACATCTGTTAAAGTCTGCGGACTCACTCACACAACCAACACTAGATTCGTATATTTTGTGTTCAAGCCTCAACGCATTTATCACTATACAGGTCTATTAAATGGATTCATCTACTTGAATACCAAACTATGAATGCAACAAGGACTAATGTACATTAATGCACCATATGGTACGCGTGTGTTATCGACAGGCCTAAAACAGCGACCAACATAGTCTATGCATGGATATAATGTCATGTCACTCTTAGATATAACAGCGACCAACATAGTCTATGCATGGATATAATGTCATGTCACTCTTAGATATAACAGCGACCAACATAGTCTATGCATGGATATAATGTCATGTCACTCTTAGATATAACAGCGACCAATATAGTCTATGGAGGGATATAATGTCATGTCACTCTTAGATATAACAGCGACCAACATAGTCTATGCATGGATATAATGTCATGTCACTCTTAGATATAACAGCGACCAACATAGTCTATGCATGGATATAATGTCATGTCACTCTTAGATATAACAGCGACCAACATAGTCTATGCATGGATATAATGTCATGTCACCCTTAGATATAACAGCGACCAACATAGTCTATGCATGGATATAATGTCATGTCACTCTTAGATATAACAGCGACCAACATAGTCTATACATGGATATAATGTCATGTCACCCTTAGATATAACAGCGACCAACATAGTCTATGCATGGATATAATGTCATGTCAGTCTTAGATATAACAGCGACCAACATAGTCTATACATGGATATAATGTCATGTCACTCTTAGATATAACAGCGACCAACATAGTCTATACATGGATATAATGTCATGTCAGTCTTAGATATAACAGCGACCAACATAGTCTATGGAGGGATATAATGTCATGTCAGTCTTAGATATAACAGCGACCAACATAGTCTATGCATGGATATAATGTCATGTCACTCTTAGATATAACAGCGACTAACATAGTCTATGGAGGGATATAATATCATGTCACTCTTAGATATAACAGCGACCAACATAGTCTATGCATGGATATAATGTCATGTCACTCTTAGATATAACAGCGACCAACATAGTCTATGGAGGGATATAATGTCTTGTCAGTCTTAGATATAACAGCGACCAACATAGTCTATACATGGATATAATGTAATGTCACTCTTAGATATAACAGCGACCAACATAGTCTATGGAGGGATATAATGTCATGTCACTCTTAGATATAACAGCGACCAACATAGTCTATGGAGGGATATAATGTCATGTCACTCTTAGATATAACAGCGACCAACATAGTCTATGGAGGGATATAATGTCATGTCAGTCTTAGATATAACAGTGACCAACATAGTCTATGCATGGATATAATGTCATGTCACTCTTAGATATAACAGCGACCAACATAGTCTATGCATGATATAATGTCATGTCACTCTTCGATATAACAGCGACCAACATAGTCTATGCATGGATATTATGTCACCCTTAGATAATAGAGCTTTATGGGGTCACGGGTGTCCCAGTGGTCTACGTTTCCGCATTTCACTACGCAGAGTTGCGCCCCTTTGCCTGCCAGGATCTACTAGGCGCGGGTTTGATCCTTGGTCTAGCAGCACCATGCTCATGATCCCCTCTGGCAAGCACAAAGGATCTGTGTCACCTCAGGCATTTCATCCACACTGAGCTGACACGCTGTGATATAACCGAAATTCTGCTGAAAGCGGTTTTAAACTCTTCTAGGTGACCTTTTAATAACGTAGTTACTGCTGTACGATTCATTCAGTCAATAACTGACGAGACGAGACGATGAAGTGACAGACATATTGATACTCCTTTGTACATCGAGACCCGGCAATAATCTGTAGAGACCTTGTGGCTGTCTCGAGTCAACGTTGTTCAACAGTACTCGCGTATGCATAAAGTATGGCCGAGAGGTACTTTAAAAACAGTAGTTGTTGATGATATATTTATGAATTAGTGAAAACACTTTGATTTAATTGAACCCCGTTAATATGGACAGTAGAGCAGAAAGCTGATCCCCAACTATCCAGACACATTTACAGGCTACCAAACAATAACACCCGTGAAGACCTGGGTAGAGAATAGGTCTTCAGCAACCCATGCTTGCCGTAAAAGGCGACTATGCTTGTCGTCACAGGCGACTAACGGTATCGGGTGGTCAGGCTCTCTAACTATATGTCATCGTATCCCAATAGCGTGGTTCAATGCTAGTGATGTCAATCATTGAATTGTCTGGTCCAGACTTGATTATTTACAGACCGCCTTCACATAGCTGGATTAATGCTGAGTGCGGCGTTAAACAACGAACAAACAAACAATGAACTATCACAGACTGTAAATGATTATGGAGTTTCCTGGTTTACAGAAGTTCACAACACACACACAACCCTGAAATCCAACGTTTATAAGACACCGTGCACGGCTCAACACAAAACTTGAAATATCCATTGTCTTCATCAGGTGATTCTTTCACAAAATACCGTTCATTACTCAAGACGCCACAAACGGGACAAACAAATATATAACAAATATAAATGAGAAAAATGAAGCAAAAATCTACTGCAGATGTAGCAATGGCTAATGCATTTTCAATATGACATGATAAGGCACCTGCAGCATGTGACATTAAATCTGGTACTCACCATCTATTTGAGACTCTTCAGACTGAGAGTGTGCAAGTCCTGTCCGTCACGGCGGCCTGTTTATCCGACTGAAGCCAGGGAGAGGCGAGCGACAGGCGGGGTGGTTGTCGGCAACAGATCGATGACGCGACTGCAGTCAGCTTGAGAAGCGAAATAGGTGTAGTTAAATAAAGGTAGGCTAGTTTGGAGGCCTGACAAACAGGGGCGGTGTTGGAGGGGTGATAGGTGAGAGGGTCGGGGAGTAGGCGCACCCACTCGAATACATGCTGGGCAAGGATGAGGGAGGTGAATGGGTCGGGTTGTAACTATGATGTGTCGGACAATACAGTGAGGTTCGGTCCCAGGGAAGTTTGGGGTTCAGGGTTTGAAGTAGTGAGTGAGTATGGTTTTATGCCGCTTTTAGCATTATTCCAGCAATATCACGGCTGGGGGACACCAAAAGGGCTTCACACATTGTACCCATGTCGGGAATCGAGCCCGAGTCTCTCTTCGGCGTGACGAGCGAACCTTTTAACCACTAGGCTACCTGACCGCCCCCTCAGGGTTTGAAGGTTTGGGGGGGGGGGGGGGGGGGGGTGGGGGTGTGTGATGTGTGAGAGTTATGAGGACAGATATTCAATGTGTGATATGTCTCCGAATACCATGCATGTGTATGTGTGTGATTCACGACGTATTATCAATGACGGCGACACCACATGTGTAGTGTGGTGATTTCCAAGTACATGTACGTTTACTGCATCCCCACATAAAACAGCAGGCAACCACAAACTATCTGTCATTCAGTGAACCAATAACACCGGATTTCAACTCATGTCGGTAATAGTTTGCACTGATGTAATTCACGTAACTTAAATCTGACAACAAAACAGTAAACAAATCCGTGCTCTGGAGGGGTGCCCTGGTCGGGACACTTCATAACTTCCTACAGTAAACTACGGTTATAACGAGCTCAAAGGGACCACAAAATAAGTTCGTTATATCGGTCAGTTCGTTATAAGCGTGTTCGTTATAAACGTAGTTTACTGTATGTTGATAAATCAATATAAAATGTCGGCGCCAGAGACTAAACGTCCTTTGTTTGCCGAAATAGATTCGATTCGGCTTAAAAGGCAAAATAGTAGTGAAAGTACAATAAACTACGTTTATAACGAACACGCTTACAACGAACTGACCGATATAACGAACTTATTTTGTGGTCCCGGCCATTAGTTGCATATATGCTGTATACATATAGCAGCATGAATGCACGTGGGAGAATATGTATATGACAATGGGAACGAATAAGTGAATGAGAGTTTGATGTTTTGCAGGGCAGTCAGCAAAATTTCAACTGTATCACATCGACCTGTAAATAATCGTATCTTGAACAGACGAACCAGCCACAGAAGCCACGAGCAACTATCCGCGCCATCAGGGAACGATCACCCGCAACCAGAGCTTGATCACGGAACCATTGAGTCAGTTCTGTGACAAGCATGCTGGGGACCAATACCAACCTGGAAACCACACGAGACAGACGGTGATGTACCTGTGCCAGGTATGTTTGCCTGGGGTGAACGCTGGATATTGCAATATGCTGGTTTTGAAGTTATATTGTCATTGATCAGTGTTTTGTTCCACCAACAAAATGACACCAATGGTGGAATGGGGTTTACTCCTCGTACCCATGTAGGAATCGACCCTGGACTGTGGCGAGACGAGCGAACGCTCTAACATCTTGACCACCCATTAGCACCCTTTGAGGAAGACATATTGGGTGTGGGTTCTTATATACATGTACGTGTCGAGGGTTGGTTTTAATACAGAGGGTTAGACACCCAGGGCATGGTAGCTGACCATGTGTTGATGCATTGGAATCTGTTATGTTGAGCGGTATACGGCTGGGTAGAGGCTAGGTGTAGAATGAGTGCAACCACTGACAGCATAGTGTCGATGATGTCGCTAGAGTAGAGAGTGACGTTGTGGTAGACGATGTAGACGTGGCGGCAGCAGCGAAATACATGATGAAGGAGACGTTGTGACAGTGACCGCGATGCCCCAGAGGTAGGAGGCATAGAAACAATGGCTGGTGACAGATTACGTGCTAATATAGAGGCAATTGTCTCGGTGTGTGTTTCCTGTGGATCAGGTCTTCCTGGAGACTTTGAGATGTTACTTCAATAGACAAAAAACGACTAAAACCTTTTCCATATTCAATAGAAATCACTGCTAAAAGCAGAGTCGATTGTACGATTCCGACTATTTCATGAGCATGTGTTCATGAATCACTATCTAAAAGTAATGACACCAGGTGTCGCGAACAATTGAGCGTATCCTGTCCAACCATCGGTACCCGTCACAACACAGGCAAAGGCAGGTCAAGTGTTCACCTGAGAAACAACCAAACACGGAAACATATGGTACAAGTCAAAATAGGGAATTGAATCGGACATAATGTTTGTCACTGATGAGTAAAATGTGGAAATCTCCTCCACATGTCTACCATGAAATATTTTGAAAGCTTTACTGAGGCCTTGAATGTTGCAACCTTGATCAAACAACTTCAGAGCAAGAGTCGTATGACGCTCTTTGAAACCTTGTCAGAAAGAGCATGCTCGATTGTACCTCAAAAGTTGTGAAATGTAAACACAAAAGACTGGATCTTCTGCAATATTGCTCGACATGAGGGGAAAGTTGACTGTTGCAAAGTTGAAGTCATTCCTCTCGTCATACAAATTACAGCAAGATGGCATATAAATGTTTTAGAAAGTTTGGCAATTATTTAGGGACATGTATATTATTATTCTCAACAAACTTCTTATATTTTCATATGTTAGGCTTTATAATAAGTTAATAACAATCACTGATGAAGAAGAATGTCCATTCGCCAATGCTTTCAATCTGAATAAATAATGGAACGCGTCGCCAATTTGTTCCTTATACATTGTAGAAATACTCCCTTCATGAGGAATTTTTCAATTGGTAATTTGTGGCTGCTTGTTCTCAAATAAAACAACGGTGTTTAAATGTTGTCTGTGAGTAATACATACTTTTCAAAGCATGGAGAATCTTTAATAAAGGATTAATAGAATACTTTAGAAGAAAATCAAATATCACGTCCCCAGGTCTGCAGACACTGCTCCTTTAAAAATAGAACCCTCTTACGGTAATCCATTTAAAAAAAAAAATGCGGATATTCAAAGACATGCGGGATACCACAAGTTCTTAAAAAATCTTCGATGTGATTAAACCAAAGATAAGCATAATCATGTGTACATTTACTTATCATATAAGTGAGCATAAATGAGGCAATTTTATTGTTAGGATGAGGACATGATAATTTGCACCAGTATGCTAAGCACGTTTGTGTATTTGTATGTAACGGCTCTCTCCCTAGTTCACCGTAAACCATATATTTGGGTGTTGACATTCTCAGACCTGCTGCAAGGTTTAGACATTTTAGATGTACATGTTCAGTTATATCTGTGTTTTCAAAACCCCAGATTCACAACCGTAAAGTAAGACTGGAAGAGCTACTTTATCAAATGAGTGAGTGAGTGAGTGAGTGAGTGAGTTGGGTTTAACGCCGCTTTTAACATTATTCCAGTTATATCACGGCGTGTCAACTTAATGTGGGAGGAAAGCCCGAAGTGATGCAGGTCTCAGACGTTTACCACTTCGGTGAAACCCACGAGCACGGGTATGGTGCTGACAAACCTAGAAACATAATCGGGGCGAACCGGGATTCAAACCCACAATCATAGGTTTCTGGTGTGCCCAAGGGACGCAACTCTGCACAGCGAATCGCGGCGCCAGAAACAAGACACTCCAAAGGTTAATGTAAATTTCTCGCTCGTTTTAACAAACACATTCAGGCTTTTCTGCCCACATCTGCTTCATGTTTGATAGCAGTAATCATTCTTCCGCCATTTCGAGCTGGAGACGTTTATAGTGGAATTTGTTTTTGTTTTTGTCCGCTGAACCCATTGCGAAAATAAGTACTTTAGGTTTATCTGAGTTAACTTCGAGTTTCCAGACATCGCAAAAACGTGAAAACCAATCTAGTGCTCTCTGTAAATGGTAGTTACTTCACGCTGAGCGTACAGTGCCATCAGCATATCACAGCACTGAAAGTGTAAGATAAATGGACACGTGATCATTATCATATTCTAATTTCACAATTTCTAACCATCACAATGATTCCAATTGAGATAATCTTCCAGAGGAGATAGGTTGTCTCCTTGACGAACCCCCGACAGACATGGCAAAAAACTGGATTGAACCTTATTTATCATTCAAGCGATATAATATCACTATACATATTTGGAGATTAAATATTTTACCTTTCACCCCCACCAAGCCACACCTTGTCAAAACCCCTTAGCAAAATCGATTAAAGCAAATTATTATTTCTAGTGTTTATTGTTCAGCGAATTATTAAGACTCTGTACAATAAAAAAACAATATCTGTTGTTTCCTTTGCGAAAGCCCGATTACCAATGGGAAATGATTTCAAAGATTTCATAGAATTTGGTTTGTCGTGCTTTGAGAACAGAATGAGTGAGTGAGCGAGTTGGGTTTCGCGCCGCTTTGAATATTATTCCATAACGGCGTGTCAGACTAATGTAGGAGGAAAGCCCGAGTTGATGCCAGACACAGATCTTGGTGAAACCAACGAGCACGTGTATGGTGCTGACAAACCTAGAAACATAATCGAGGCGAGCATTCTAACCCACAATCATAGGTTTCTAGCGGGCCCAAGGCACGCAACTCTGCATAGCGAATTGCGGCGCCATAAACGACTGGGCCACCCGTGTCCCCTAATGATAATAGAAGTAAATAATTTGCCGAAACAGCTAAGTATCGAAATTGGACGGTATAAATTTGGATTATCGGCGTTTCCCCTTTTCTTATTAATCAGCCTTTTAATACCTGTCAGACATGCCTCTGGTAAAATTCCCGTATTTAGTATCTCTGGAGTACCGTTCAGTTGTCTATGATCTGTCTGAAGCATTCGGCCGACACAAGCCGTACACACGCTAATACCAGCACCAGCTCCTCGGGCGAGGCCGAGTCATGTACCAGACATTAATGGAAATGACCGTCACAGAATTTGCGACATGCATATAACTATCCTTGCATGGATAGTTGCGTGTCAGTG